AATTCCCTCAACTCATTTCGATTCTTTGAAGACAACATCAAAACTAGTCGTAAAGCAACAATTCCTTCAAATACACGACACTTTGAATAGAAGAAACAATCTACTGGTTCTACATCAAGTGATCCAAGAAGTATCTTTTCCAAAGAAGATACGGAAGGGTCCTTCTTGAAGATTCCAACAAATACTTTTGGAATTAGGACTTGAAAAGTATTCTCGTCAATAGGATATCGATATAGTCCCATTTCTGTTACGGCATCATATAAAAAGGACTCCGAGGTCAATCTATCATCTACTTTAGACGGTATACGATAAAGAGCCATCATCAAAAGTAAATCAAAAACACTTCTTCTATCTTCGTCCAAATTCAATATTCGTTCCACAAATGGTTCAGCACAAATTCTTCGGAAATCGTAGTCATTCATACAAGTCAAACATTCTTCTTTCGATATGAAAGGCTGATTTCTTGCTATTATATAATTCAAAAGCATATTTACTGCACGAGTCAACAAACCAGGAACTCCACCTGTACATTCCAATAATGAGTCTGCCAATTCATTTACTGAAAATGAAGAACTACATAAGACATCACAAACCGGAACTTGAGTAGGTGTCTCAAGAAGACTCTTTTCAAGGAATTCAACAATACTGGAAGCGTCCAAAGGTGATAAAAAAATAAAATGTAGTATGACTTTTGATACAGAAGAGACATCATTCTTAATACTTAAACCCTTGCTTTTCCCAACAACTATAAAAAACAAGTCGGGTTCTTTGCACAATTGACTAATGATACCGAAAAAGTCATTGTAAGGTCGAATCACACCTTTGTCATTCTTCTCCAGTTCAAAAAGAATTCCATTCGTATCCAAAACACCAACTTCATCAAATGCCAACAAAAGATATTGATCGGAAGGAATCCTTAGTATATCTCGTAAGAGTGGAACTAGGTTGGAGGGTTCCATATCCACCATTTCGAAGGCTTCTTTCTTTCGAAAAATTTCCGCGCCAACTTGAGAGCAGGCAGCCTTTATTAACAAATAGTAGACTGCCCACTCAAGGTTGCGTTCTTTCGGGTCTGTGGGCTCCAACTCCTTTAAATCCGCAGAAAGCAATGAAGCCCTTTTCAGCTTCTCCAAAAAGGTTCTCCTCGAAGGGTCTGAAGCAAACGTCGACAGGGAAGTTTCACCAAACCTTTGCACCAACTCCAAATAGGTTCGGGCAAAGTCGTTTTGCCCGAGCCAAAGAGATGGGGGGCAAATGGTATCGTCAAGCGATAGTCGCAACTACTCGTTACACCCCTGAGTTGCTCTCGGCCGCTATGAAGATAATACAGTTCTTCTGTCACAAAAAAAACGTCCCTTTCACGATCTACCACAACAGACTTAAACTTGTCCACAGCTTTCCACTTTTCATCCAAACTCGCCATCGCCAAAGAGAAATTAAACAATCTTCTGTTTATTTCGGAGTACAAATATAAATGAATTTAACTGTTTGTCGGTCACAACAACAACAAGGAAAACAGTAAAGGATACCAATCCAACTTCTTCTCTGTATCAACTGATGACTATGTCATACCCTTTATGGCTTGGACTGAGATGACTTGAACTATGGAAGAACGATCAATATGGCTTTTTCAACTATCGATATTCTTATTCTCGTATGCTAAAATAATGGCAACTCTCATAGGGTACAAGAAGGATTGGAAGGAAGCCAATGTTTATTTCACAAGTTTTTTATGCTCTTTGAGAGTATAAAGCTATTGAACATGGCCCATTCTCACATAGATAAGAAAGTTTCTTTCAGAATTTTCGAAAGTAGTCAAGAGAGTTCCGAGCAATATAGATTGTTCATGAAGAATTTGTTCCATAGACGTCTCTCTCTAGATTAACTGTATTTTATAGAACAGTTTTTACGTCACTTTTGCTTCATTTCGAAACACGGAACTAGAGTATGAACCAAGTCATTCTCTTCTGTAGTCTATTCAAAAGCTCCAGTTGAAATATATTATTTAGTAGAAATGCAGAAACCCGCAAGCACAGCACTGCTTTATTCTCAGCAATCATCAAATTCCATTCTTACGATATCATGACAAGTAGCAGTTTATCACTAAAGCTACAAAAGTTGATGATAGCAAAAGACAAACCAAAACAAATGTGCTAAGAAGGATCCAAAATATCTCGTGGTTTTATCAAATCTCAGAAACAACATTGACTCACACAAGTGTATCATCAATACTCAATTTCTGTAAGAGTCAATAACTCCTGTTTCTTTCTCCTCTGAAAATAGTGGCATTTGAAACTGTGAATTCTGTTAAGAGGAGAAAAGATATTTTCAGAAAAAATTCAATTCAATCGAATTGAGTCTATTCTAGCGACTCTCTTCTCGTATCTTGTCATTGCATATCATTTGAATCATAGTTGAATTCTTTCTCCTCAATAGTCGACTATACATTTGAGGTGTTTTTGAAGGTAAACATGACTGTTTAGGTTTAAAGGCTTTTGTTGCATCCTCTTGTACGATAAACTTTGTAAAAACCACAACTTGTAAAGATATACAAGAAAGCAAACTATAAAAAGTACAAAGCTGCTTTAAAACGATATAACTCCAAGAGGGCTATTATTTCTTTCAATATAAAAAAAGGTAAAACTTTTAAAAGCTCTGCAAATTCAAAGAACGATTTGTTCAGCTGCAGTTGAGTCCTACTATTTTTCTTCCATTCTCAACCATCAGCTCGTTGAATAAGTGAGTCACTATACAAAAGTTCCTTGCGTTAGGCACTTGGAAGAAGACTCTTGCGAAATATAACCTGATGGGTACACTAGTAGAGGCTTCCTTTTGGACATTGGTAACGAGAATCAAAGACAACCCAACGTTTCGTATAAAAAACGGGTCTATCAATAGAAGAAATGTTCATTTCTACTAGGGACAAGTCAAACTTGAAAAAGAAGAGAAACGCCTTTTTATCCAAGTTGCTCTACAGAGAATAAAAATGTCGTCAACTCGCAAACAATATTCAGCAGAATAAGATAACACAAGTTATCTGATTCTTTTGCAGAGTCAAAATCTTAAATGATATTTTGGTTGTTATCCAAACCGGTAAAGGTCTTGTTCTTTTAAATATACTGGATCAATTTCGTCTATTAGTAAAAAAGAATATAAATGTAGAAATAATGGAAAAATAAGAATCTTTCATCTCTCTTGGCAAAGTAAAAAAGAAAGGTGAATCTTGAAATATATGTGCAAGGAGAAGTAAAAGCATCACCACTCTTACTGTTGTTATACTAGTCAAAACTCTCTACAAGTTGTTTATGTAGAGAACAAACCAAGACCCTTGAAACGTTTGAGGTTCGATCCTCCTTATCGTAAGTAGTTTATGTACGAATTTGTGTATAGACAAAAGTATTCCCAACCTTTGGTCAGTTTTTTATTATCGTCCTGTCCTCTGTATACTTTCCAATTCTACAGTTGAATATACGATTTATTCTTCTTTATAACTCGTAATCGAACAAAGATTGCTCCTTGAGCGTAATTTGCAGAGAAGGAAAGGTTCTAGCTCTCACAATGCAAGCCAAACAGAGTTAATGTCATTAAAATTGGAAAATGACAACTTGACACCTCTAAGCACTTTTCCTAAATTTTGAGTGACCAACAAAGAAAGGTTCTCAGAACGAGAACGAGTCAAAAACTGGTTGTAGCAAAACCGTTCTTGATTTGTTATCAAAATAGGCTCACAAGTAGTCTGAAATTTACCTTGCAGAGACAACATTGATCAAACTCAACTCTGTTAAAAGGCTACAGTGTCGCAAGGGAGTTGAGAGGAACTTTGTTACGACACTGTTCTTCTCGTTTCACAAAAGTACTGAGATGTGAGATTGATTGTATCTAGCACACTTATAGTTCCAGAAACTTTTTACATATCTCCAAGTGGAATATTTTCTTTCATAAAACTCACTAGTCACTCAAAATAATATATCTCCAGTGAAAGGAGACAATACAAAGCGATCCTTCTCATAACAATCCAATCAGAAATTCAACACAATGGTTTGATTGTTGGATGGAAAGGAAGTTTCAGTGAGTATTGTCAAGGCTGTGGACCTGATTCAAGTTTGCTAGTGAAACTTTTCCGACTTTAATTTCTAAAGCAAATTCTTCGTTCGTTTTAGTTGGACAAGTGAATTTCTATTATCTACGTTTCTTTTTAAGCCCTTCAAATGTTTCTTTTATAACGATCCATCGATTTCTGAGCTCGGAGTTCCTTGTAGACTGTAGTTTCTTTTAGTATGTATAAATTTTATTATCTCTTTGGAGTTTATATACTTTATGCAAGACTTGTTGTTATTTCACTTCTGGTCTTGTATGGAAATTTGAGATTAGCGTTGTCGAGAAGAGAGCAAAGACAAAGGAATTCAAGCTGTGGTTGAGTTTTGGTACTTTAGTCAACTAGTTGTCTCACAAGTTTGTTTATTTCTATCGATAATTGTTTCAGAGCAGTTTTGCGTATTCATTAGCAGTTGATAGTCTAATCTTGTAGTCTGTTGTTGAGAATCAGTCTTTGGGTTGATATTTCCAAGATATATGCAAGAACAAGAAACCAGTCAGACTCTCAGTTGAGTCTTTTAGTCAGTACACAGAATTATATTCCGTATAGTAGTTTTTTGTCTTCTATATGACTCTTTTCACGATGTAGAAATCGGTCTGTAACTCTGCAACAGGCATTTCTCAGGATAGCATAGGACAGTCTTGAGTCCATCATTGCTATTTTCAATGATTGTTTGTATTGTTGTGCTTTTAGATCAATTCTCTATTGATACGAGTATGTCTTTTGAAATATTATGGATGTGGGTCTTTAGATAACGAAAGCTGAATATACTTGTATTTTGAAAGCAAGGGAACAGTTTTTAGTTCAAAATATACTCACCTTGTTGGGAACCGTGAAATAAAGCAAGCAAAAGAGCACTGCTGAAAGTCATGGTTGTGTCCACCTGGTAAAATGTTTTGACGATAGCGACTGTAGCTACTAGTCCGTTTTGAGAAACGCCTTTGTTTTTATGAATCACTGGTTTTACCGAGGGTGAAATATGTCTAAAACGATACATAAGTCGTAAGAGTGATAAAAGTGGAACTAGTATTGCTGTTGTTTCTGAAAGGCATCTATTGCAAATCGTCTTTGGTCCTTATATAGTTGAAGAGGAGGGTAACATTAGTAGTACGGTGTGAATGGGAAACAAGGCGACTTGTGTGAAACAGTATTTGCAAGTCAAGTGTGCTGCTGATCTGTTTTTTTCCCAACACACTGAAAGTCATGCTGTTGAAAGTAGTGGTAGTTGTAGCTGTCAAAAAGTGAAAAGGAAACACAACATTTTGTGCAAACAGCTTGCGTTTGGATAGTATACAAAGTAGCTCTGAAAGAAGCTCATGAAGGATGGGTTGAACTTCAACAATATTACACGAGCGCAAACATTGATACAATCGTGTCCGACTAGAGTTTTGGTTTGACTCTGAAAATAAAGTCCAACTTTTGGTAGATAATTCCTAGAAAGCATACGCAGACGAACAAAGTAGTTTGCACATTGGCACAAACCATAAAGCATTTTTCTATTATCGCTGCAAAATCAAACCATTCGCCACTACTTGAAATTCAACCACAGCAACAACAACAAATATGAGCCCAAGGCTAGTGCAGCATGGCACAGTCATCAATTCTACAAAGAGAATGATTCCTGCTTCTATCTTTTACTCTTTTCTTCGTTGTTGGCATGAGCGGAGAATTGCAATTGTTTTATTTACTTCGAATTGTAAAATGACAGCAACGACAACAACAACAAGTGAAAGTTATACTGTAATACTGAGTGTTACATGGAATATTAATAATAGTTTTTGTGATAAAAGTACGAATTTGACATATTTTTTACCATAAAGGAAAATTGTATTGTTGACGTTACAAAATAAAAGGGCACTATTTGCACACTTACGACTATTCCTGTACCTTACTATCAGTAGAACTACATAAGGTCCTGATTTTGAACAACAAGTAGAGTATCGAGTTGCTTTACTGGTCGATTTTCGATTTTGCTTGTACATGTTTGAGACTAATCCTTATCTTTTGACTCTTGAAATGAACTTATTTGTTATCTTATGATAGTATGATGAAGCAACTAGTGGTCATTTCTTTTCCGAAAACGTCGACGTACAACCTTTCAGAATCTTTTTTCATTGGAAATCCCGATCGCATAAGATCTCTTTGTCCGTGATAGTTGCGTTGTATTTGTAGGGATGGGTAACTCCAAATGATCAAATCAAGATAATTTCGTCAGTTGAATCAAGTAATCTTTGACAAGTGAACTTGCAGTATCATGAAAGTGTACAACATACTGTTTTCTGTGATCTAGAATCTACTACTGATTTATCTTGATACATTGTATTGTTCTTATGTCGAAACTACACCTTTTGAAT